GGTGCGCCGCAAATCAAAAGCATCAGAATAGCAGCGCTTTAATAAATGGCCTTAGCAGAAGGCCTCGTTCATATCAAAAACAGGCAAAACAACAAATTAATATTCAACATATCCAAGATTTTTAAAGATTTTTTTTTAGATGTAACCCATTTGTAATCTTAAACATTTTCACAAGTAGCTGTAATTTAATTACACATTTTTTTCTCAGTGACTGTAACGAATTACTGTTTCTTTTAATTTGAAATTAAATTATGTAACGCCGTTACATGTAACTAGTTACTCTCTAACACTGGTAATCTACTAGGCATAGCTTTTATAATTTACTTAAATTCCATATAGCGAACAGGCAATAGATTAATGTTTATAAAACTCTCATAAGTTAAAAGATCCCAGTTACTGTTAAAAAGATCAGAAACAAAAATAATGTTTTTGTTAAACCATTTATCCCTGAAAAAAAAGATTTATTATTTATCTTAATGTCGACATTATTCCATAAAATCGTTTTTTGGGGTGAGAAATTGTGGCTGTAAGTCAGTTTCCAGGCTAAAAGAGCTTGTTGATGGAACTGAGCTAATTTAATAGGTGTTTTAACAACGGAGTAGTTGCACTTCATTAAAAAAGAAAGCCCACCAATCTTTTTAAATATATTGTTAGGAATAAAATACCACATAAAGTCTGAACTAAGCAAACATCTCTTTAGCCAATTGATTTTAAATGTGTTATTGGAATTCAGGTTTTACATCTGTCCTGCACGCAAACTCTCTGACGTAATCCCGTATGTGCGCAGCATTTCTACACGTTCTACACACAATTGTGACGTCACACGTACAACCAAACACACAGAACCGACTAAACGGAAGACCACAAACTTGCTTTTACATACATATATTTACATTTTAACAAGGAAATCAGTCATGTCGGTGAATTACGCCGCAGGACTGTCTCCATACGCGGATAAAGGTATCTGCGGTCTGCCGGAGGTGAGGTTTATATTTGTTGCTGCTAGCCTGCTAGCAAAAATAGCTTCATTTAGTGCACAATAGCGTCATATTTACCATTTCAGCCATGGAATGTACTTTCATTTTGCATTAAACTGCAATTTAACGTAAACAGTAAAATTCTGATGGCTGTATATTTCATGTCTTAAAGGCGACAAAGTTATATTGAACAGATACGTTAAGCATTACCAATAAAGGTTAACGTTACGTGACTAAATAATAATAATGAGTTTAAAGTTATCAAAGAGCAGGGGAAAATAGTGTTATTAGTAATATGATAAATGTAATCTGTGATCAGCCAGGGAACAGTAATAACCAGTTACTGTATAACGTTAACTGCTTATGGTTGCCAAGCAACGTGGCGCGTTAACATCAAGTCAAGCGAGATATCTAATAATCATTCATTTTCTTTTCGGCTTAGTCCCTTTGCTATCATATAATATCAAATGTTATTTTTTTGAGTGTAAGTCAAGGGTGCCCAGACTTTTTCTTACGAAGGGCCAAAAATCTATTTTAATTTAGGGGGGTGGGCCGAAGGTAAATATATCAAGTCATTCCATTAAAGCTGCCATAGTAATTTCAGTTTATTAATATAGACAATTAAATAGAAAAAAAACTTCAATCATATTAATAATTATAAGCTTTTTACATTTTATAATGAACTTCTTAAAATGAAAACATGAACAAACGTTTATTATAAAGGTGTTCAATACTAAATACATGAGTCAGAACCTGCCTTGTTTTGCTTATTGATGTCTTGTGTATTGTCCTCTATCTTTGAGTGAATCTTAATTACGACATTTAATTTAAACATTTCATTTAATTTCAGTTGACTTTTTTTTTTTTTTTTTTTTTTTTGTAGCTCAACAATTAAACAAACAAGTAAACAAAAGGTTACATTAAATAGAGTTGATGATCTCTGTTGAAGACATTTCCTGCAACCTTCATTTTATTGCTTCTCAGGTGGGATGGTGGGCCAATTTAAAGATTACCATGGGCCATCTTTGGCCCACAGGCCCTACTTTGGGCATCTCTGGTGTGAGTTAAGTTAAACTAAGTATGTAAATATGAAATGATATTCTGAGCATTTCTTAGCCATGATTCATCCCATCCTGAATGACAAAAATGTTAGCCAGGGGTGCGTTTTCCAAAACCAT